ACAAAGTTCCTACGATGCTCTGAGGCTCACATTTCGTTAAATGTTGCACTTTTTGGTAAACCGAGCAAGGACAAAGTGGAAATGAATGAAAGAGAGATGAAATCTTTGAAAAATCTTTCAAAACACCTTTTTTAGGGGTTTGGATTTGAAGAAAATGAGAAAGGAGAGAAGAAAACTAGTTTGGGAGAAGTTCGGCATCAATTCGGTTGGATCGAAACTGCGCGGCTTCACGAAAACATGCATAAATTTTTGCGCAGTTGGAATTTTGATGCAAGGTTGGTGCCATTGGAAAGATAAGTTATGGGGCTTCAATTTGGACACTTGGCCGACCACTTTTGGCCTTTCCAGCCACTGGCCGAGCACTTTCTCTTCTGACAGACCAGAAAAAGTAGCTAGCCGACCACTTAACTGGTCGGCAGCTTTCCTTCAACTTTCTGAAGATATTTTCCTCCAGTTGGCACAGCTGGAAGGCACCAGAGCCATCCTCCATACATGTGTATGGAGGGATTGCCTTGGCCCTTAGCTTCTTGGAGAAGCTTTGCCTTTTGTTCTCTATAAGAGGGAGGCTCCTCCTCCCTCCTCTAGGTTCAAAAATTTGAGGGTTGAGAGTTATACATACATAGTTGTATCTATCTTCCCCTTTGCTTCATTTTTGTGCCTTAAAAGTATAGATTTGTCTCACTTTTGTACACAAACACACACTCAAACACCTTCCTTTGGTTGCTGAGGTGCTAAGGGGTTGTTTTTGGTGTTCTTGGATTAGTTTAAGCTCAAAGAACTTGCTGGAGTTGCAGTTGTAAAGGATGTCTTCAAGGGTAAACATTTGACCTTTAAATCCCCCTTTCTTGATTAAGCTTTTATCCCTTCTTGCATACGTTTTTAAGCTTAACTCTTAACTAGAAAAAGTTCTTTTTTTGCATGCTTAAAATAGTTGTTTAAGGTCACTTTTTCGTTTGGGGTGATTTACCCCCTCTTAGGCTTTGTTAGGCCTTATTTTGAGCCATCCCTTTAGGCTCTTGTTGAAGCCTTTGCATGACCTTTCTACCACTGAAATCCAAAGGATTTTTAGTGGTGGAAAGGTGGTTTTGGTGTCTTAAATGGGAGAGGGTCATCCCCTCTCCTTGTATTGTGCTTACTTGCGTCATATGCCTCATGTTTGAGCATCTTTGTTAAGCTTTTGTTGGCCATATTTTAGCTTGTATTTGTGGTTATTTTGCTGAGGCATACCACTGTTTTTTCTTTCTTTGGTCACTCCATGTATGGTTAATACACTTGTAGTGTAAATCACATAAACTAGCTTTATATGCTTCATGAAGTAGCATCTCATTCTAGCTTACTTTGAGTCTATTTCAGCATGTATTTGATGATGTTTTTCCATGTCATATCTCTGTTAGGGTTTGGTTTGGTTGGCCTTTGCATGCTCCATGCACTTGTAGTGCAATTTCGTGAAATAGCCTAACTTGCTTCGTGCTTTGACATGTCTTTTAGCATGCTTTTGGCTTGGCTTAAAGAAGATTTTGTTCATGTTTTACCATGTTTAAGGTCTGATTTTGGTTGTTTTGGCCGTGCATGACTTGCTTTATATAGCTATGGTTCAACCTAGCTTGTTAGCTTTGTGTGTTGAGTCCTCTAGCATGCATTACTTGGACTATTTCAATGATTTGGCATCATTTATTATGTGATTTCAGTCCATGTTTTATGGTCATGCATTCACATTAAACGCTCATTCAATGCGTTGGAGGGTTTGCCCCTTTATGCCTTAACATGAATCATTGTGTATGCCTTCATGCCATAGCTTGTGAGCCATCATTTCAGTGTGTTTTTGGGGTTATTATGCCATGATATAACTCTAATTTTTATTGGTTAAGTCATTCCATGCTTGGTCTAAATAGGTGTAGTGTAATCCGCCTTATTTGCCTTGTATGCATCATGTCTTATACCCTCCATGCTAGCCTATTTGGGCTTCTTTCCATGCATGTTTTAGACTCATTTTAACATGTTCTAGGACTGTTTTGGGTCGCCTTAGTCACATGCTTCATGTTTTGTATACTTGTAGTACAAGTGCCCTTGCTTGCCTCAAGCTTTGAGTACCATTGAATGCTTCACTTGTTGTGTACATGATTTGGCATCACTTAACATGACATTTCAGAGCATTTAGCATTGCCATGTTCCTACCTCAATCATGCTTTAAGTGCCTTTGAGTGTTATGCATTGTTGCGTAGTTTATGCCTTAGCTCGTATGCTTGCATGCTTAGCCTTTGAGTCCCCATCTCAGCATGTTTAGGTCCTTATTTTGACCTACTTGAGCTCTGTCCATGCTTAGTTCATGCATTTGTGCCATGTATTGCATGCCTCATGTGTAGTCCTCTTTGCTTGTCTTAAGCTTTAAGGACCATTGCATGCCATGCTTGTGTTGATTAAGTGATTTGGCATCATTTCTTGTCTAATTTCAGTGCACTTAGTGTTGCTACACTTCCATGCTTTTCACTCTTTAATGCTGTGTTTGGTTGAGGGATTTGAGGAGGGATTTGAAAAGAGAAATGGAAAAGGTAGGTGAAATGTGAATAAAACATACTTATATTTCACCTAGTTTCACACACCTTTTCCATTTCCCTTTCCAAATCCCTCCTCAAATCCCCTAACCAAACACAGCGTAAGTGTTCTTGAGAGTTGCACCTTAGTGCCTTAGTTGGTGAGCCAATTGGTATGCATGTTTGTATGTGTTTTCGGTGCCTTCATTTTAGCATCATGGCCACTATTTTGGCATGACTGAGGTCTGTCCATTTCGGTTTAAGTCCATCGAGTATATGGTTTGCATGTTGTTGCATGTTTGGTGCATTGCACATTGTTGCCCTTGTTGCATTGCATTGTGCATGCATGCATTACATTGTGTTAAGAACCTTCATGATTGCCTTGCATTGAGTATGCCATCTAGTTCTTAGCACTTAGCATTGTGTATGCCATGTTATGCCTTGCATTGTGTATGCTAGGTTGCTAGTTGCAATGAGTATGCCATGTAGTTGCATGTTCGCATGCTAAGTTGCATTATATAGCATTGTGTATGCCATGTTTCTCGCTTGCATCGTGTTTGGAATAGGTGTTAGTCTAAACACGGGAAACGAGGGACGTTTCATACTTAAAGTGATGAAACGTGTCTCAATTCCCCGTCGCCGACGCTCCGGATTACGCTCTTGATCATACATGATAGAGTTCTAGGCCTTATGTGTTTACTTGTGCATTCATTTTACATTGAATTGTGTAACTTCGCCTCTCGGCCATCATGCATTGAAATGCACGATTGGTGGCCTGAGGGTTGAGAATCACACCCTTTTGAGTTCATGACATGATAGGGAGGGTGGTTGTGCACACATATTTTACAAATACATTGCCATGCCCTTTTTTGCTCTCTGTTGCAGCAAATTGCAGTTCAGCAGCAACAACTGGCCGGCCAGCCAGAAAAACTAGTTGGCCGACCACTTTTCTGGTTTTTCAACAACCAAAAGTGGTCGGCAGGTGTCTGGAGAGACCAAAAGTGGTCGGCTACCCTCCCACAGGTTTCCCTAGGTAGAGTTTCATCTTTCTGGAGCTTGGTGCAGAGTCCTGAGGACAGATGAAAACAGAGGCAAATCGGGGCATCGCATTGGATTTCTGAACGAGGCGACTGGGCTTGCATGTATTCCTCTCCCTCTGAACCTCATGTTTTACTGCTTTCCTTAGTTGCCATGTTTGGATAGCTAGCTTTTGCTTTGGTTTGTACTTTAATTAGTTAATGCGTTAGCTATTCAATTCGTTCTGTAATAATTAGTTAACTAGGATTAGTTAAATAATTTGTTGTGTAATAATTAGTTTAATTAGCTTAGATTAGCTAGTTAGCTTCTTATTCGGTCTCTCCCTCAAGAGAGCCAATTGTTGTAATAAGCGTACGTGTGTGTGATGCATGTCTTCCAATCCCCATTTCTTTCTCCCTTTTACTTAACCGTTTACGATGGTTAGCTTTAGGGCATATTTCATTTAGCATACCTCATGCTCGCATGCGTGCATCCATTCATCTGTATTGCCTTCACCGGGCTCGGCGCATCATACTAACTGCATTGTACTTTCAATACATTACTTGAATACGTGTTTAAACAGCATGTTATCAAGTTGCATTTCACATGACATGATTAGAATAGCCGAGCCTATTTTAATTGCATTTTCGCATGTGTTGCATTAGCCATCTTAACATGAACTAGGATCATGCATGATTTCTAACTAGTTCTTTGTTTTGGCTCGGAGTACATTGTGAGTGTTTACGCTTTAGCATACTGCATGTGTGTTAATGGTGCCATGTTAGCATGCTTGCCATGAGGCTAACTGCTTATGTGATTTACTGCCTGAATGCCTGTGGATGAATGTTGGATTGCTTGAATTGGGACAATTCATTGAAATCCTCGATTTAGCCTACTTGCGAGTAGCAAACTTCAAACCATGTTTAAACAAACGGATATGCAATGCTTTGTTCCAACTTAGGTGATCTAGTCTATACTTGTTTGCTGTGCGCATAACATTATAATTCTAGGTTAAATAACCGGAATAAGAACACATGCGTTTTCAAAAACAAAATATCATGCTTAATACAGGCCGATCTTTGATCGGGCGAGCGGGGGTGCTCATTATATGCCCTTCCCCAATCGTACCCAAGTTCCCGAGCCGAGGCAACTTTGGTGATGACGGACACATGGCCTTAGGCACGAGATTTTTAGTCACCAAATAACAAAATAAATAAAAACTTTCGTATATAAACTGCAGTAAATTTTGTCACAAAAAAAGTTTATTGGTGACGAATAATCACTTTGTCATAATAACAAGTACAAATGACGAAACAAATTCATCACTAAACTTGTTCCATATTTTATATTCAATTTAAATTATTATTTCACAAATATCCCTGCTCATATCCCAATAGCCTTTTAATTGTACTAAGAAATCCACTAGCTATTATACAGCACTCCACAAAAAAATTCACTAAACAATTTATTTTATAAATCAAAATATATCCATCAAACAACCTTAATAATAATCCATTAAGTATCACAAAAAAACCATCAAAGTAAATCCCAAAATAAACTAACGTGGAGTCCACCAAAAAAAATCAACACTCAATCTTAATTTGCAACTACAACTAAGCTTCAGTTTAGGAAAAAAATTCAACAGTTGATCTTCATTTGCAAGTATGCTTCTGAACGTCATCAAAACCAATCTACAAAAAAAATAAACAAGGCAAACATTAGCATAGAATGTATATATATAAAGTTTATTATAATAGCAAAGTTTTATTATAAACTTAAAGCCAAATATCAGAAACTTAACAAATATACAGAACTGTTCTCAAGATCACAAGCTTGAAGTTATCTGAATAGAAATTAACAGAGATTAACTAAAAAGATGAATACCATGCTCATTCCCACCCATGGGCTTTGCAATGATCACCTTAACATGGCAATTCATTGTGTCCCCAGAATTATGCTCTGATAGAAAACTGGGTGTGACCCACGGACAACAGCCAAACTAGTTATAACACTACAACATCTCATGGTAAGAAACCAGGGCATGCAGTCAATGAGAATGGGAAGGAACAAATATTGTGGCTGCTGCACAAATGGGATTTAAAAAAATTTTGAAGAGAGAGAGAGAGAGAGAGAGAGAGAGAGAGAGAGAGCAACAACCTACAATGCAAAAAATGGATAACTAGACCACTAGCTTGGTGAGTTATGACAGCAATGACCACAATGGATGTAGATAATAAGCTTATTATTTTTAACATTAACATTAAAAGGCCACACACAAAACCTAAAAACAGCTCCCTTCTAAATTTAGAAAATAGTATACACTGCTATACGTATTATTTTGTTTTAACATTGACTGCTTCCTTTTTTTTTTTTTTTTTGGATCAACAAAGACTTTATTGATGAAAGAACCTTACAAGAAGAAGAAAATACATCAATAAAGGGGACAAGAAATGACAGGGGAGAGGGGGATGATGCACAGCACCAAAATGGAACTGTTGGTGAGGGACCAACAAGAACACAAAAAAACACAACGGATAGTAGGATCAAACACAGACAGCAAGCTACCCATCCCAGCAAAGGTATATAGAAAATATACATCACCAAGCCTACAATTAGATTCACATCCAAAACTGAAGCAAAACTGAAGCAAAATTACCCAGACCAGCAGCCCAGCAGATCTATCCACTCACACAGCATACAAATACAACCAGCAAAGCAGAATGATACCAAACAGCAGAGCATATAGATACCAACAGCAGAGCAAACAACAGAGCATACAGATACCAACAGCAGATCATACAGATACCAACAGCAGAGCAAACTGCAGAGCATACAGATACCAACAGCAGAGCATACAGATACTTGTGACTTAGGCTATACAGATACCAACATCCACAGATACAAGCACACTTAACAGCAGGCTATTATTTGACTTAGTTTTGTCTCTACTTTGGTTAGTGTGTATTTTAACTAGAGTCATGCTAAGTAAGAATTTTGATAATGAATCTATTTTCATTAAATACATCTTCAAACTTGTTAAATCTTAGTTAATAAGTAGTCAAACTGTACACTTTAACTAGTATATACTAACCAACATGAGAAAAATAAATGATAAAACGAGCGAGACTTACCAAAAAGGCGATGTACGAGTTCATGAGATACCTCATCCTCTAAATTGTCCTTTGAAACCTTGCTTCTTAAGAAACTCCATGATGCTTGATGTGATCTCAAAATGCTCGTCAATCGACCCATTCATCTTCCCTATCTCTTTATTTTGTGCTTGAATTTCCTCTTTTTGTACTTCAATTTCCTCTTTTTGTGCTGTAATTTCCTCTTTATGTGACTGAATTTCCTCTTTTTGTGACTGAATTTCCTCATTTTGCTATGGTATTTCCATCTCTAGATGCCTCACATAGTCACTGTCAGTCGAAGAACTGGTAGTCCTAACAGAGAAGGAACACTTCAACCCGAGTCCTTTAACATATCCTGACCTTGGCTTTAGCACCTTCACAGATAGCTCCTTCGGAGTAATTGGAACCACACCAAGTTGGGAGCAATGCTCAGCTTGGATCTTTATCATATTATCCTGGCAATTAAAAAAAAAATAGAAAAATGAATAAAGATACAATTAAAATTGCAATCATCCTAATACAAAAGGTAAATATACATACATAATTCTCTTCGCACTTCGGAGAAATCCACTGCTTTGTGACATCATTAAAGTGTGTAGATTTGTAAACACATGGCAACTCTGGCAGTTGGCCCCCATTCGCAATTGTCTGATTTTTTTTGTTCAACTAGTAAGTTAAATAAGAACGACGGCAGTAGAATCATCTTTAAAAAAAAACAAAAAAACAAAAAAAAAAAAATTAAAGAAGACCTACGACCTCGTGTACCCTAACTGGGAGAGATTTTGACCCACACCTATGCTTTGTCTACAATTGATTTCTATTGTCAATGTTAGCATTTGATTGCTTCTACAAGGAGCAAGTTCCAATAGAAAAATATATATATTAGGAAGACAAAGTAATTGTCAACAATTAATAAACATAAGAAAAGTTTACCAGCCAATTGGTATCATTCCACTTCTTGTCAATCAAGTTTTTCCATTTCTCGAGGTCACATTTAGGCAGTGGGTGGCTTCTAGCATACTCCTCTCCCTTAGCACTTTTAAGGTTCAAGTATTTTTTTTGTAGTCTGTAGGTGTGGCTGCTCAAGCTCCGTCCACACTTTGTTGCCACCACTTTCCTAACATTAGTGGATTCACCTTCCATGTCAAATTGATCCTAGCAATAGCCACAAATATTGTAAGTCATAATTAATTATATTACATTAATTCAATCAATTATGTAAAAGTTTTACCGTTAGACACTGAAACATAGGTACCGTAACTTCTTCTTTGACATGTTTCCACCTGTGAATGCTAAAGTCTGGCAAGTGTGTTTGGACCTCAACACCAATTTTGGAGACTAATTGAGAGGCATGATCCCCCACTGGCGCACGATACTCCTGTGGTATAGGAACTTTTAGCTTTCCATCTTTTTGAACCATTGCTTGAATCTTCAACCCGCGTGTCAAGCCACGAGGGTGTCTACTAGGCATTGTTTTAAAGACATAACATTGACTGGTTAGCAATTAATTAAAGTGAAATCATAAAAGCAATATAAGTAACTTTTTTTTTAGTAAGTCATAAAATAAAATGATAACTACAAGGGGCATTCCCCAGGCCTTACAACAGCAAACCAAAAAAAAAAAAAAAAACAGAGCTATAAAAGAGAAACAAAACCAAACAGATAAACTAAACTAAATAAACTATAAGGAGAATCATCCTAAAATAAACCACACAAAAGAATGTTCATTTGCCACATGAGAAAAAAAGGGCTATGAACATTCAATAGACTAGCCAAAAATAATACAAAATACACTTGCACAACCCTCAAGAGAGAAAAAACAAGCAAAACGAGAAAATAAACCCAAGAAAAGCGCTGCACAAATAGCACTAGCAGCAGCCACACAGGTACAGCTGCAGCTTTCTTGATGCTTTTCATTTCTTAAGTTGTTTTCTCTTTTTCACAGTTATATTTGCTATTCCATTTTCTTGTTTCTTCACTCTTTCTTACATTTGTATCTTTTTCGTTCTTCTCTGTAGCTTTTTCGTTCTTCTCTATTACTGCCAATTTCTTCCCTAGTTTTTGTTTCTGTTCAGTCTCTCCTATACAACTGCTGCTTTGTTCTGCAGCTGCTGCAGCTGCTGATTCTTTTCAGTACTGCTATTGCTTTCTATTCACTAGTCTACTTCTCTGTTTCTCCTATACAACACTAGTCTCCTTCTCTGTTTTTGTCACGACCCCATTCCGCCCCTAGTAGAATGGTGCCGTGATGGTCAGTAATCTGAGATTACCGAAGGCCAACTTTCAAAATTCACATACAATCAGAGTATTACATATAGGGCTAACATGTGCGGAAGCAATATATACAAATCTAATTAGTCCATAAGAGCTGTGCATAAGTCAAATGAAATGGCATACATCTTTACAAGGTCTTACAACTTGGGTACAAGAAGAAATGAAATACAAAATACATCTTGACCAAAAGGCTTCTCAAGCCGACATATACAAAATGCAATGAAATATAAGCTGAGAAGCATGATCTTCAAGATGTTACAAAAATACGAATCCGAGACACGTCGGCAAACACATCCGAAAACATATCGGCAACACATCTAGGCCTCATCGCCTTCTTGCTCATCACCTACATATATATAGAGAGGGTGAGCAAGCTCAAGTTTGGCATCTCTCCAAAAAGTCAAAAAATCAAAAAATTACTCAAAAAGTTATCACTATTCGCCAAAAAAAAATATTAAAAAATTAATTTTCCACAAAATTATCAAAACTCAGTAGTAATGTTAAGACTGCGCTGTGCAGCGTTTGTTAACTTTTGTAGCACAGTTTGGGTGCAATTTCCACACGCTGCTGTTCGGCCTGTGGGGGTCCATCACGGGTCCGGTTTTGATAATCTGAACCGTTGAATATGTAGAACTCGTCGAGTACTATATGCTTGTAAAAAATCACGTTGATCGAATA